TCTTAAAAGCACCAAACCGTGGCGGCTCCAATTTTTTTTCTTTCACACACGCACACACGCACCTCTCTCCCCCGTACACACGTTTCTTAAAACTTTCCTTATCCGTTTTTTTTCGCCTTTCTTCCCTCTTATCTTTACTTTCTCTCTCTCTCTCTCTCTCTCTCTCTCTCTCTCTCTCTCTCTTTTCTCAATCCATCCGCTTCGTCCTTCATCACTATACCTCAATAATTTATCGCTGCGCGCGCGCACGCCCACGCACATAATCGTTGTATATATATATATGTATATTCATTTTGTATTACGTATACAGTATACACACATATATATATATATATATATATATATATTTGCGTGGGCGTACACGCGTCCACGTGTTGTGTATAAGCTAAACGTTTCGTCTTAAAGCACTGATTAAACGAGGGAGCTCGTTTTAACGTGTCCCTCCCTCTGAACACGCATACCAACCATCCTAACCAAAATCACAGGACTAACTAGAAATACCGTCGGCTCTGCCTTATCGCGGCCCTCGGCGTTAAGGCGTCAACGGCGCAAGGACGTTGGTCTCCCGTGGTACGAGAGACGCGCCGACGGCAAACCGGTCTATAATACGTACGTCTCGCCAAGTAGAGTTCTCGGGAGGAAGAGTGGAGAGAGAGCAGGAGAACGAAGGTCGGCCGAGTGGGACAGAGGGCGACGGAATAGCGAAGGTGAGGTAAAAACAAGAGAGACGGTTCGAGGATGAAAAAAAAAAGAAAAAAAAAGAACACACTAGAGCACGAGGAACAAACGAAGATCGTAAGGAGGAAATGAAAAAGAGACTACAATAAATACCGTAAAACGTTCTAGTTAACCCCCTATAGCTTGTAAACTCGACGTTTCTCCCCTGGATCGTGGCTGCTCGTCGTCTTCGTCGTCTTCGTCGTCTTCGTCGTCGTCACAAGGTCGCCGAACCGATGACGCACGAGGTCCCGTGCAGCTGCGACTCGTCGGCCGAGCGTGGAGCCTTAACGAGGAAGCGAGTGACGACGATCGCCAGGAGTGAGAACGGGAGGACCCGTGCGAGCCCAAGGTGCGGGACGACGTGGATGAGGATAGCCGAGGGCGAACGTCCTCGTCTTCGGCCTCGTGGATGAACTCAATGATGCGGGGGCGGCGGATGCGGGGCCTCTTCCTCGGAGGGGTCGACCGGGCTCGGGGACAGGAACTTGCGCACATACTTTGGATAATGTGTCTTTTCGTGGGCCTTGAGGATGGTCGACCTCGAGAAGGTCTTCCCGCACAGGGTACACCTGAAGGGTCGTTCCCCGGTGTGCACGCGACAGTGGTCCTTCATGTGATGCCGTAGCTTGAAGGCTTTCCCACAGAACTCGCACTTGAATGGCCGGTCGCCCGTGTGCGCCGGTAGGTGGGCTATCAGCGAGCCAACGTCCGGAAAGGATTTACCGCAGAACTTGCATAGCACTACACCGGAGGACGGGTCCGAGTGGGCCGCCAGTTCCAGGTCCATGGGCTCGACCGGCCCGCCCGGAGGATAGTGGGCCTCCGGCGGCAGGTGCATGCCGGGCTCGAGACCCAGCTGAGCCTGCAGCTGCAGGTGGGCCTGCTCGCGGTACTTGAGCGACTCGAGGCTGTGCGAGAGGATGTGCCGCGTCAGCTTGCTCTGGTGGAGGAACGAGGCACCGCAGTACATGCACGCAAACACCCGCTCATCCACACCCATCAACTCCTGCAACCAAACAAACAAGAACATCAACTTCTTGCTTCTCCCTGCTCTTTCGAGTAAATTACTCTTTCTCTCTCTCTCTCTCTCTCTCTCTCTCTCTCTCTCTCTCTCTCTCTCTCTCTCTCTCTTGTTCGTCTCATCGTCCAATGTGTCTCTCATCGACGTGTCATTCTCTCTCTCACACTGATCGACTCCTGGGCCTCGCTGTCAGTCTGACTGTCGTCATTAAGCGACGTCCCTTTCCTCGTCGACTACTGCATTGGCCGTCCTGACGAGTCAATAGGATAATCTCGATACACGTTGTCCACGTCAGAATCTTGTATGCCTACAGTCAAGTGCGTACAGTGCAGAAGTCGGGTTACGAAGTCCTCGCATCTCCCCTCCGAGCCGGCATGCGTGCTCACGGCACAAGAATGACACGTGGATTCCGCCAGTAGTCGTCAGTGGTCAGAGTGAATTCTTTTTTTGCTTTCTTATCATCCTTTTTCTCTCTCTTATTGTTCCAGATCGTCAAGTTCGTCAGTCATAATTTGGAATCTTTACGATGATCGATCTATGTACGTTTTTCAAAAATTTTGAGAACTTTCTATCTCTCTCTCTCTCGCTCTCACTCTCTTTCTCTCTCTCTCTCTCTCTCTCTCTCTCTTCTCTTTTTGTTGGTTCTCTCCCGTTATAAACGGCAGCACAAGAAGTTGACGCTCATTTTTGTTTGGCGCGCGCGCGCCCCTCTCGCGACAAAGCTACGCTGTACCACGTGGACGAGCCCACCAAGCGCCAACCCCCATGGCTCGAGCCCGAGCACCGACCCCCATGGACATATTTCTTTTTTTTTCCTTTTTTTTTTTTCATCGACAATGCATATCTCTTATTTTTGTTTTTCTCTCTTGTTAACCCGCATCTTTCACTTTTTTTTTTTTTTTTTTTTTTTTTTTTTTTTTTTCCCCCGGGAATGCGGCCGCGATAAGGGCGCCCTCCCACCAGAACGGCGGTTACCTCCGGAAGCTACTACGTGGCGAAAGTAAGGAGTCCGATGCCGGAGGTCGCGTTATCAAACGCAACGCAAATATTATCCGAGCATAGGCATTGCACTCAACCAAACAGCAGTCGGAATACAGACATTACCAAGTAATGATATAATGAATGTTAAAATTTGCACATATACACGTGTATATATATATAGATATACAATATATTTACGATTATATATGTATATATACATACATATGAGGCTATGCCAAGTGAACATAATACCATAGTATATAACGATATATATAACGCATATATAGTATCTATGTGTGTATATATATAGATATACGTAAATATGTAGTAAAAAACAACCATGGCCAAAAACGAAGGTCAACTTCTTGACAGTGAGCTAGCAAGACAGGCTGGCAGGAAGGATTCAGGAACTTCAGAGAGAGAGAGAGAGACAGAGAGACATAGAAAGAGAGAGAGAGAGAGAGAGAGAGAGAGAGAGAGAGAGAGAGAGAGAGAGAGAGAGAGAGAGAGAGAGACATATAACAGAGAGAGAGAGAGAGAGAGAGAGAGAGAGAGAGAGAGAGAGAGAGAGAGAGAGAGAGAGAAACATATAAAGTAAAATTTCGGGAGTTTGATCCGTGACGAGGAAAATGTGTTTAGTTAGGATGGATCGTTTAGGAGGATAATTATCCCCTGCATGAGAAATCGAACCCTTATAGATTTTCCAGGATCGGCCAAAAATGACAGATCGATTGGAGATAAATAAAAATTTTTGAACGCGAGACACTCGGAGGTATGTCGAACTTACGGGGAGAGCATTGCGAAGAGAGACTGACAGTAAAAGAGAGCGAGTTTAAGACACGGTAGTAAGCGAGATAAAGAGGGAGAGAGAGAGAGAGAGAGAGAGAGAGAGAGAGTTACAAGTGCACGGAGAG